AATTCCTTTAAATAGTTTTTCAATGATACATCTTCAAAATTAAGAGGTCCATAAATAGCTAAGATGTGTGCAAACCCATCAGACAATAACTGGGCATAATAGGCATCCAGTAAACACCTGTTTAATCATATTAAATGGTTGAATTCATATCATGTCCCAAAAAAAACAGAAAATGAAAAATTGAAAGTGCTAAAGCAGAGATTGTGAGAGCAATTCCTTTTGATGACAATCCAGGGCTTTCCCTACCCCTCTCAACACCCTTTTTCCTCTTGAAATAACATTTCAAACGACTCTCTATGACCTTAAAATGCTGAATGGCTCCAGGGTAAATAACTATGGAGGCAGACTGCCAAATCTGCTGAAAACTTTAATTTCCTTTGTATTTCCTTCCCCCACCCCAAATTCCCCCACTCAACGCTCCAATCAGGTTCAAGCAATTCCCTAACTGGTTTTATAGATGAATCAATCACATATGGCCTCAAAGAGCGAATGTATTCAGAATTTTTCTGATAATGAGTTACATCAATATGATACCAGCAGGGTAAGAGAACCCTTGCCATGCTAAAATTTCTATTTCTACTTTTCTTATGCATAGCATCACTCAGCAGGTATACATTGACTGAAAAAGATTAGCTAGTGCTAGTGACATTAAGAAGGATGAGGTTTCATTGTCTTACAGACAGTTTCACTCTGCCACTAGCAGGGCACATAAACATATCCAAAACAGAAAACTGACCAGTCTGTGCCAATTTCATGCTGCAACCGACTATTAAAGAAATTGCTGTGGCATGCTGCATTCACTGCAAAAGTAATTCATGTGTGTGTATGTGTGTGTGTGTGTGTGTGTGTGTATACGTACATATATATATGTGTGTGTGTGTTTGTGTGTGTGCCCAGAGAAGACAGGTATGTGATTTACCTCTGGTCACACATAATCATTGCACATCCAAGGCAAGAACACAGGTTTCTCTCATTTCCAGGCCTGGGCACTACACCTCCTCTTACATCTCAGTGCATTGCCCAGCCAACCAAATATTCATTACTATGTCTCCTTAATTTGTTTTTGAGTCTATACTAAAATAGCAATGCAAAAAGTAATGCTTTTTCTAGGAATCATCACTAACTCAAAATATATATTAAATTCCAGAAAAACATTGTCTTGGATATGCCCATTACTGATGCCTTCTTCTCTAATCTGTGCATGTTACAGACTGGAATTAATTTTATAGACTGGAATGATGGTTCTGACTTTAATGAGAAAGGAGTTCTTACTAGGCAAACTACCAGAATTTTCTTTTCATACATATATGCCTCCAAATAATAGATTCTAATCTTCTTCTTTCAGAAGCTGTTAGGAGACCTCTGTAGCTAACTGATAGATAGCAGATCTGACAAAAACACACAAAAATGAATGCTACTCCTAGCTTTCTGTTAAATTATATTGATATGCCTTCAGGACTCTAGAAACAGCCTGCTAATAAACAAATATTAATCAAATAGCACTACCTTACTCCCTGAGGTAGCTAAGTGTTATGATCCTCATTTTAAAGGAGACTAAACTGAAACATGAAATGATATGAAACATTTGACCCTAAGTCCTGACTGCATCATCAACAAATTCCAGAATCCACACAGGCACTAAGCCCTTTCTTCTAGACTGTCTCAGTTTTTCCTTTCCCTTCAGTTCCAATTCTATGTGACATATATCTTATGCCACCAAACCCTATCCGTTTACCCCCCTTAAAATGCACCTCACTTCAACTAAATAGATTTAATAGCTCTCCCCCTTTTGCCTCTGCCACTCAATGCTCAGCTTCACAAAGGAAATGAGCTGGCTCAGTCAGCTATACAGCAGATTACAAAAGCTTAGAATGACAAGTTCTCATCTTTTCTTGGAATTAATTGGTCAGGTCAGGCAGTTGCCTTCACGTTAACCTGTGCTTTTCCATAAAAATGTAGGAGGGACAAAAGGGGACGAGATAATGATCATTCAACCCTCCCAGAAACACTGTCAAAGTACAGCAAACAAAAAAAAAAAGATAGAAAAGAAGAAGGAAGAAAGAAAAGAAAAGAAAAAGAAACCACAGAGCACAAGAAAAATACATTCTGATCCTAATGCCAGTTTCTAGACTTCCCTTAGCTAGATGTCATTACAAATAAAAGAGGGCCAAGGCTCAAAATCAGCCATGGACTGGATACAACTTCCCTATTTAGATACTGGCCAAGGTCACTTGAGCTTGTTGCACAGGGAAGTTCGGGCCAATCACTTCTAGAAAGTCCAAGAATTTCTGGATTATTGGCATTAATTGACTTCTGTTCTTTAACTGTGCTTATCATCTTTAGGGTATAGCACGGAAGTAGATCTGAAACCCATGCCTCCAGCATACCAACCCTCTAGAGGAACTTGATAAAAATGTTCTTCCAAAGGATTATGGGCTCAGCTTGAGTTAGAGTTGAAAAGAACCTTAAAGGAGTCATTGAGTCCAACTCCTCATAGAGGAAACTGAGACACAGAGGTCAAGTTATTTGCTTAGGGTTCCCCGATAGAAAGTGTCTGAGGTAGGATTTGAATACAAGTCTTCCTGACTCCTAATCAAACTCCTTACTCCCTACACCACAATGCCTCTCAAAGTCTTGCTATTTTTTTCTTTCTAAATAACTCAATTCCTTAATATCTACAATGGGGATCTGTGCACAGAGCTTTCTCAAAAGGTGATGGGTCCTAGAGGTTGCTCATACAGGGCTCTTTGGCTTTCTTTAGCTCCTAAATATGAACTTCAGTCCATCATAAAGACTGAGCCACAGGCAACTGATCTATAGCAGCAGCACCCGCAACAACAGAGGAAGTCGTTCAATGAAGCAGTGAAACACCTGGGTTGATCTTCAGCAGCTTTTAGCCATTCCAGAAATGGAGATATGTTCACCTACAAAACAAAAGTCAGCTAATCGAAACTACATTAACCTATCTGGGAAAATTAGAGCCAACTATAGAAATGACAGTTTTGAGGAGTGAGTTAGGAAACAAATCACACTGGGAAGAGCAAACATGCCACCTCCTACTATGATTTTCCTTTTTCCAAATCCATCCTCTTGAAGCCCAAGAATCACATACCTGGGATGACAAGCAGTGGCAAGATTTTTATTACCCAGTAACTTAAGCAGCTGAGAAAACAGTAGCACCTGAATGAACTTTAAAAGTATTTTCAAAAGTTTTTTTTTTAACCAAACCAATCCACTAACTGGCTGTACTCAGAGCAAAATGCTCCTCTCTCAATTAAAGCCCAAGTTCTTTTATCTTGTTTATAGATAGACCTAAAAGCAGAAATATGTCCTTGCCTAATAATAATGATAATTATTATAATTGCTATTATTATTATTACCATGTCTTGCATTTATATAGTCAATACCATTTATGTAGTCAATACAATTTAAGAAATGTTTTACAGGAAAAAAAAAAGTTGTTCCAGAAGTCTTAGTGCAGTTTCAAGCTTTGTGAGCTTTAAGATGCCTGTATCATCTAATTTTACTTTTCCAGCACCTTAAGACAGGACAACTATTATTTTTCCCATTTTAAAGGGAAAGAAACTAAGGTCTGTTAGGGTTAAAATAGCTCTTTTAAAATCACACCACCAGTAAATGGTAGAGAGAGGCAGGGCTCAAACCCAGGTCAAAGCCTGCTCTTTCTATCATACCACACTTCACTGTCACACGCCTAGGAGAGCCTTCCCTGAAGAAGCATGAGGAAGACTCAACTCTAGTTCTCAAAGCATTTGCTGAAATCAGAATCCAAAGTACTTGAAATGAACACATCTCACAACTTCTCTTTAGTCTGTCGCCTGCTAATAAGAAGAAATCTGTGTAGCCGCAGTAGACACTGGCTACACCTGAAAGCGAGCCATATTCAAAAGCCTGGCACTGCCAAGAGAACAGGGCAGCAAAGAACAAGCTGGTTGATCAAATATGACAGCTCCAGACTCCCCCTTTTCTTTTCACCCTTAACAGCTATGCATACTTCTACAACAACCAAGATTCATGCTGTACATAGGTACACTCACATATATACACATGCACGTAGAAATTTAAGGGGGAAGACTATCTTCTTCTTTTGTTATTATGAGCCCTTTTGCACTTTGTGTAGTTCCCCTTTGCTATTATCTCTCTCAACTAATCTGACTCCATTAACTACACCTCCCAAAAAATTAGCCAAGAGGTAAAAGACTCACTAACTATTAAACTACATAAAATGCTGAAAGACCCGGCCAGTGTCTTCTAATTATTTCTGCTCTTCTTTAACTGTGTCCATCAGCTTTAGGGTAGAGCATGGAAGTCAAAGTGAACTGACAGACACTGCTAGGAGCTACTGAAATAAACAAGTGTCTCTGCATACTATAATATACATATATACACACAGGCGCAAAGACCTACCCACATATGACCCTGAACACAGTAGAATTATCTGATGATATAAACACGGGTCTACTAAACACTCCCAGCACTTGCTGTATAAATAGCTAGCTGTTGTGTTTGTCAATTATGTTAGGTGCATGTAAATATATACTATACACATGTATATCTAAATGAGTGATATTACAAAATCCTATCATTCTTGAACTCGATGTGTTTTGGACAACATATCCATTGATATAGGTAGAGTGTAAATACTCAACATAACGCATAATGTAAATATTCACCAGATTCAGACTTGGGCGCTGAGATGGATAGAAATTAGGAGGGGGGGGAGGGAATCAACCTCTGGGGTGAGCTATTCTCTGAAAGCCACGAGCACACAACACCGCCCTGGGTGGGAACGTATGCCCGGCTCCCGGAGCACGGCCACACACGTCTGGGTGTTGGAGGGAGAATCTGCAGAGCCTCGAGTGGGACAATGAGGACACTGCGATCCCAGCTCGGTGCAGTTGCAGCGGGAGCCGCCACAGCACCCACAGCCACGGCCACGGCCGCCGCCTCCACCCTTTCCCCTCCTTCCAGCCCTTACTTACGTTCCCAGGGTCTCCTTGAACTCGAAAATCTTCTTGATGTCCTCGGCTTGTTTTTTCCAGGAGGAGCTGCTCTCCCCGTTCTCCCGGGCCATGGCAGCCGAGTGTCTGGGGGAGGTGGAGGGACTACTGAGGGGAGAGAGTGGGGGTGGAGCGGCGGGGCTGGAGGAGGGAGTGCGTAGGGCTCTGGAAGGGAAGAGGGAGGGGAGGCGAGGGGCTCGAGAAGAGCAAGCGTGGAGGTGAAATGTGCAGGTCCTGAATGGATGGAGAACAGACTAGCCCTCCACCACCACTGCTCCTCCTGCTGCTGCTACTGCTGCTGCTGCTGCTGCCGGCGTGCGTGCGTGCTAGGGAGATGCTCGGATAGGGAACCAGAAAGAGACTTTCAACTGCAGCGGTGCTTCCTCTTCTGCAGTTTCCTCTTTCACTCTCTCTGCCTCGGTCTCTCAGGGTCTCTTATTTCTGCTCTTCTCTGGCACAGACTTCCTGCCGCCGCCGCCGCTGCTGTCTCCGCTGCCGCTGCTCAAACGGCTCCCTTACCGCCTGATGCAGACCCCACTTTCAGCTACTTTTCTTGCCTCCTTTTTCTCCTCCCTCTCTCCCTCCCTCGCTCACTCGCTGGTTCCCTCCCTCCTTCTTCCCACTCTCCCCTCCCTCCCTCTCCCTGGTTTGCTGCCTTCGGGAATGTCTTTACTCTGCAGCGCTTGGGTTCAGACGCCCTGCCCTGCTCTCCTCCCCCCAGCAAAAAATAAAATAAAATAAAATAAAAATAAAACCCACCAATTACAATAGTCCTAACCAGAGGTAGGAATTTACCCCCACCGAGGTCTCCCCGGGCCAGGAGGGGCTTCGAGCTTCCTGTGCCTGCTACTTCGATACTCCTGAGAGTGGAGATGGGGACTAAAGGGCGCGGGGACACGAGGGGGAAACCCTGTTCTATTTCATTTCTTCTGCAAAGCCTTGGGTAGGGGACCCTCCAAAAGGGATGTTCTGTAGGAAGATTTTATTTTGTGGGGGAAAACACCGGCTGAAAAGAGATGGGAGTTTCTATTCTCAGTCACAGGGAAAAGAGAAGGAGGAGCAGCGAGTGTCCGCCCGCTTAAGTGCCCTGTAAGTTGGCACCCAGGAGGCGGAGAGGGTGGGCACGCACAGTGCGTGTGCTATGCGAGGGAAGCGAAGGGCCGGGCAGGGACTGAGTGACAGATAGGCACACACGCGCACACACCCACACGGCTCCCCTCCCCTCCCTTTCCCTTCCACTCGGGTCTTTGGTTGGGGCTGCTGCTGCTGCTGCCGCGGCTGCTGCTGCTTCGGGTTGTTTGGCTTGTATCAATATCACTTTGTGGCTTGCAGGCTGTATGTAGTTCGTTGTTATAGCAATGGGAGGAGAAGAAGGAAGTGATGGTGGGGAAGGTGTAGGTGGGCGTTCGACTCCACAGCCCAGACTGAGCCGGCTCCCCGCTCTCCCCGGCTGTCAAAACCCCTCCAGACTGAATGACTGGAGATAATTCGCATTGCACCAAAACAGCGCGCACGTCAAATAATGAGGAGGGGATGGGGGGAAGGAAGGCTAGTGGGGGGATCTGGAAGAGATAGACATTAAGAGTATTGGAGTAGAGGTTCGGGGGAGCAAAGAGGAGGGCCTGAACCTGCCAGGCCGTAACTCCTTCACCTTTCTAAAGAGCAAGATTTCCAGGCTGCCTGGGTGCAAAGGAGGTGAATGAGGAAGAGAGAAGGGGGACGGCCCCGGAATGGGCATATGGTAATGCTCTACCGCAGCCCAGAACCCTGTATGGAGTAGTTGTCACGTGCAAGTCTTCCCCCATCTCTGCCCACTCCAGCTTGCCTCCAACCTTCTGCCCACCCCCACCTCCTCCTCAACACCAGCTGCTGCTCCCTTTGGCAGAAGCCAGGAAAATAACAAAAAAGCTCCGGGTAGTGAGTGGAACAGACACCCTGGCCCCTCTCTTCCCTTCCACGTGTCCCCAAACATCCATCTTCTGTCCCAGTTGCAGGGATTTCCCTGGCTACGCAACATTCAGCCCAAGTTGAGTGTTGCACTATGCTGCTGCACTCTTTTCCTAGCGGACACTTTGCCAGGCAGTACTCACTCCTCGAATACTTTTTTCTTGTACACGGGGGAGGGAGATATGGAAAGCAGAAGTAATGGACAATTATGACACATCCCTGCCTCAAAAGTTAGAACAGATGTCTTCAGTTTCCCGTGGTGTCATTGCAGTACACTCGTTGGACCTGACCTATTCCTCTCTCAGTATCCACTTATCAAAAAGTTGCCTGACTGCCTCCTTGCCTAATAATCTGCAGTGACTATATTAAGACTCTCATTTTCCCCCTCTCTTTGGGAAAAAAAAAATCTATCCCATCAAATAAACCTAGACCCTGAGCTCTAGTTCCATATTTTCAACTGTCTGCTATATATTTTCACTTGGAATATTCCCTACATGCCATCTTAAACTCAACATTTCCAAAATGGAACTCATCCTCCTCACTCCAAAACTTGGGCCTCCTGTTAACTTCCCTATTCCTATTCAAAGCCCGCCATTCTCCAAATCAAACAGGCTTTAAACTTCCTTGAAACCATCTCTGACTCTGTCGTCCCCCTGGTCAAGCTGAGTCTCCTCCCCTCCCATTACCACCACCATCCCCCCACATACACACCTACTCATACACTCCCACTCAACCAATTGCAAAGTTCTCTTCATTTGACTTCTGCAATATCTCTCCCATTATCTTACTCTTCTAACCTCTCTCTCCCCCAACTCACATTTGCCATCATCCTAGTTTAGATCCTTATTACCACTTTATGGCCTACTGCAAAGCTTCCTAACTAGTCTTTCTGCCACCAGTTTCTCTCCTATCTAATCTCCCTTTCACATATCTGCCAGAGTAATCCTTCATATGCACAGGTTTGATCATGTTCATCATCTCCTTAAAAAACTTTCAATATTGCACATGTAAAATGAAATACAAATTCCTAATATTGTCATTGAAGACCTACCTTAATCTGGCTACAGCCAACTTTTCTAGCCAAATGAATGAATAAAAAAGTCTCTACCAAGCACTTTCTGTTTGCTAAGCACTATGCTAAGCACTGGGGATAAAAAGACAATTAAGAAAAACAGGCCCTGCCCTCAAGGAGCTTATGTTCCAATAGAGAAAGACAACACATTGATGGAAGGAAAAAAAACTGACAGAGAGGTCAGGGTGAATGTTGTTTGAATGAAGCAGAGCAATTGACTGATAAGTCCTCACCAAGAATGGTAGAGTTGATATGATTACTCTTGCCGGTGCTAAAGGTCAAAGGGGTAGGATGGGCTAAATTACAAGGCAGAGAGATGGCTGGGAAGTGATATGGTTGGCCTAGGACTGAACAAAATAAGACTCATCAAGCAGAGCCCAGGGTGACAGAAGTGGGACGTTCAGTTCTGGAGGAAGGTGGAGGCTGGCTGAAGGGCAGCATTCTAATCACACAGTCTGTTAATCAGCTACCCTAGATTATTCATCATTCTATCTCATCTTGCTCTCACTCACCTCCTTGCATTTGCACAGGCCATATCCTAGAACTAACCTTCCATCCTCTACCTTCCCTGACATCTGAAGAAAATCTTCTTCCTTCAAGGTCCAGCTTAGGTGTCACCTCATCACCTCCTCCATGAAGCCTTCCCTGATTCCCAATGCTACATGTAAAACCTCCTTCCTTGAAACTCTCAAACCATTCTTTTTTACCTACATTTTGCCCTTAATAGTATTATAAAATGACATAATGAAAAACATCCTAATAATTAGACCTATCCAAAAGAGGAAGGGGCTTTCTCAGGAGATAGCAGATCTCCCACATTTCCTCTCCTTTCTAGGTCTTTGAGGTGAAGTTGGATGATCATTTGTTGCCAGAGTCGTGAAGGAATTCCTATTCAAGTATGGATTGAATTAGATGGCCTCTTAGGTCCCTCCTGACTCTAAGATTTTAGGATTCTTTGAATGTAGCCCTAGCTAGGAACAGATGTTCCGTGGATCCATCCTCTTAGGCCATCCTCAATCAACAGTATTTGTTAAGAGTCCGTGTGTTCTGGACATTTTGCCTCTATTTGCTTTAATCAACATCTACTTAGCAGAGCATGGTGCAAGACAGTAAAGGAGATAAGTCAGTCCCTGCCTTGATGAGGCTGACAGTCTAATAGCTGACTTGAAGCTTAATATTGAAATACAAAACAAAACAACTAAGATCTTAGCAACTGGTCCTATCACTTCCTGGTAAACAGAGGGAGAAGAAAGGGAAGCAGTGCCAGACTTTAAATTCTTGGGCTCAAAGATCGCTGCAGACAGTGATTGCAGCCATGAAATTAAAAGACACTTGCTTTTTGAAAAGAAATATATGGCAAATCTGGACAACATACTAAAAAGCAGAGACATCACCCTGCTGGCAGTGCATGACTGTGAGAGTTGGAATCAATGTTTTTGAATTGTGGTGCTGGAGAAGATTTTTGAGAATCCCTCGGCAGCAAGGAAGTAAAATCAATCAATACTTAAAGAAATTAATTCAGGCTATTCACTGAAATGTCAAATACTGAAGCTGAAGCTTAAATACTTTGGCCACATAATAAGAAGATGGACTCAATGAAAAAAAAAGCCTTGATACTGGGAAAGATTGAAAGCAAAAAGAGAAGGGGATGTCAGAGGATGAGGTGAATAGATAGTGTTATGGGAGCAATGAAGATGAACTTGAATAGACTTTGAGCATGCTGTGGTCCACAGAATTGGCAAGAGTCTGACACGACTGAATGAGTGAATAACAACGGAGGAATAAGATAAACACACATATACATACATACATACATACAAATTACATTATATTTGTATCCGAAGAGTACAAAGTGCTATATGACAACCAAGGATGAAAAGGTCGTCATTGACTTGGGGAGATTTAGAAAGGTTTCATGGAGAACATGACATCTGAATTGGGCTTTAAAGGAGAGACATATGCATGTGTGGTTTCTATCCTACACTGAGCATCAGCTCATTATATGCTAGGAAGGGACAGAATAAACATATCTGGCCCTAAAAATAGGAGTCAAATTGACCACCCTGACTAG